TGAGTGATTATATCCCTGCAAAGTTTCTGACCAATGAACAAACACCTGTGTGTGTAAATCAACCAAACCAAATGAATACGATATGATATCCTAAAATCTCATTTATGAGTTCAGACCATGTCTTCAACATGGTGGTGGTAGTATGAGGGTAGATTAATTGAGGAAGAACTCTGAGAATATGGACTGGAGTTATCACATAACTACATTAATAAGTTTAGAGAGAAAGGTCATTTTAGTTACTCAGTCAGTGGCCCAGTTGCATTTTGTCATTCAGCCAGCTGTCTTTTTTTTATTTTTATGTATTTATTTATTTATTTATTTTAACCACAGATTTTGCCCCACTACTTTTGAAGTTGTGGCGTCATCCCTGGTCACCGCTATGAACCCAGAGCTCAGCTTCTGCCATCTACTTTTGCATTTTCTGTACTTGAAGTGTGTGTGTGTGTGTGTGTGTGTGTGCGTGTGTGTGTGTGTGTGTGGCACATCTGTGCATGTTCCACTATATAAGAATCAGATGCTGATTGCCTGTTACATTCACCCCATTTTCAACTGAACTCTTCCACTCTGCACACATCTCAAATAAAATATCTCAGGATGAGGGTCAGTGTGGTTCTGCTTTGGTTCTGCTTGTCTTGTGTTCAGCTCCGGAGAGCTGACGACCAGCTCGTTTTCATCCTTCATGAAGTTTTGACAGTTTTCCTTGAATTCTCTTTCAGTTCATCTTCTCAGGGAAGGGGTCCGAAGTGCAAGCCATGCTACAAAATGTTCTTACGTGTTTCCACCAGAGGTGTCTTCAAATCCCCAAAACTTACATAGTGTAGCTTTTAATATGGAAAAATATGAGATTCGGTCTGACACAGTGCATGTTTCTGTTTGCAGGCAGACGGAAGGTGGCATTCTCATTTGCTTCAGGCTTAAACGGCATTTCATTTCTTGCCTTTGTCACTGATACAAAAATGAATGTGATATATATATATATATATATATATATATATATATATATATATATATATATATATACACACACCACATACCCCAAAAAATCTGCAAAAAACTAGTCGGTTGTGATAGTGTGAGACGCTCAGTCTCTTATCATCTGTTAAGACTTTAAAAGTCGTGTAGTGAATTCAAGGCTTTAGATTTTCTCTACCTATTCCCACGAATATTGTAGTCCAGTTGGTGATGAGAGATAAAAGATCCAAAATAAAATTATATTAAATGCGCTTACAAGCAAACAAACAAACAATCTCTTAATTACCATAAAACACATTAAAAATACTGACAGTGTCAATAAGGATTTGCAGAATTTCACAGCTGAATAGATTGATATGTCCTTGACCCTGATTCTGTGTGTTTGTAGATAATTTGTAAAAAGCAAAACAAACTTTTCATTTTTAATATATAATCATAAAGCACAGTAGTAATGAAATACATAATCAACAATAATAAAATAAAACAGTCCACAATATATACAAACACAGTTCCTTAGCTGGTGGGTGGGAAACTCCTCAGACCACCTTAAACATGGGTGAAGGTTCCTCTCAGCCCCTTGTAGCTGTGGTGTCAAGTTGCTTAAGTGGACAGATGGGGAGGCCTCATATGTGTGATGTAGCGTCACTTAAATGGCCAGCCCAGTAAAACCTCTTAGCAGTGATGTAGCATCACTCAAGCAGTAGGTCCAGGCAGCCTGATCGCTCTGGTGTAGTGTCATTTAAGCAGCCAATCCAGGTAGCCATAAAACTGCGGTGTTACATCACTCAAGCAAACAGCACCTATTTTATTAGAATGTTTATATATTATATACATTTATGCAAGGATCTCTAGAGATGCATCAAGAAAAATCTAACTAATCGATCTATTTAACATAATAATACATGGAAAAGTTAGTTTAAACGTAGCTCACTGTGCCTCCTAAAGTTCCAGGCACCCACTTTCACTTTCATTTCCTGTTTGGAGTGCAGTGACAAAAATGCTAAAGAAAACAAGACAGACTCTGTTTATCACTCATAAATGAGACGAATCACAGGATTGTGACATTGAATTTTTCACTTGTTATGCTTAAAAAGCTGCTTATCTGCTTTTTGTTTGTTTGTTTTCTTGCTTGTTTTTGTTTTTATTTTCATTTCAGGTCTTCCTCTGACCCATCAACCTGCCACATCTAGCACTAATTGTCTTTCCAGGACTTTGTTATTCACAAATTGTGCTCTACATATGCATTATTATTGGTTTAATTCATCAGCTGGATGAGTTTATGTTTAATCAGTTCCCTAATCTTTATCTTGGTGCATCCTTGTGTAAGTCTTCCTTGCTCTTTCAGCTATCATTCATGTTACAATGCTGACATCTAGTGTTCAAATGTACAATCACAGGTAACAATTTACCAAAACATGTGGCATACAGGAAAAGCATAGACGAGACATTTTTTAAAAAACAGATTCAGATGGATTAATATTGTTACAAGATTGTTTCTCTTATTATTGTCTAACTTATAAATAATAGACTGTTAATCAGTGAGAGCCAATTGGAAAAACTGACACAAGACAATTCAGATACAGGACAAAGTGAATTAAATGTGCTGCTGCGTCAGTCTGCATTGTGGATTCTCACAAACAACAAAAAAAAATCAAATCTGCAAATAGTTTTCAGGTACAATCATTCTTGTTCTCAACCACCAAATGCTGAGTTTAATTGTTTGCTGAACTGCAAATTTCCCTGGTAAAATCATATGATTAGTTGATTTTCTGAAAATAAGTTAACACAAATTGAAAACACAGCTCTGCACATTTTGATACACAATTATGGTTTATTGGCTGAATGTAACATATGTTAAACAAAATGTGTCCTGTGCCAAACCTATGGCACATTTTATTATGCAGGAAAAATGTTATTCAATTTCGTTCCTGTGGAGGATTTTCACTTAGAAATTGACCAACTTTATCTTGAATTGAAAAAGATATGTCTCATTAACATATTAAACAAATACTGATGTGCAATTTACATCATCTGCAAAGATTTAATCATTTATGGTAGTGTGCAAAAGATAGAGACCCCTCCCCCCTTTCATTATCTTTCTTTTTGTTTATTTCCAGTGCAAATGGTCTTTTGTTCAGAAAAAAGCAGAAAGCACATCTAACAGACATGTACACAGAAGCCTCATCGACTAAATCAGATATCAGATTAAATCAGTGTTCAGTGAGTCTCTCTTTCCCTTCATTCTAGCTGCCAATCTTTTCAGGAGACTCACTTTCAGTTTCTCAAAAAATCTGCAGACACACCTCCAAAGTTCAGTCTTAGAAGCTGGTTGTACTTTATACTCTTTCAAGGTACTCACAATCATCACATTTATCCTCTGATGGTAGGGGTGCAACGCACTATAACTAATGCAAAAGCATATAAAGCATGACTGATGTTCTAAATGTTCTTCCACACTTTCCATGCAATTACACATTTTCACCAGAGAGGTCTCCAAATCCACAAAATGCTGAAAGTTTATTGTTGTTGTGATAAAGTATGTCACAGTATGCTTTTTGACCATATCGGCTGATGGTGCAATGTTGAAGGAGGCGAGGGGGTAAGATACAAGTGTCAGTCTGGGTTTTTATTGTAATCCTTAATGAAAATGAAAGAAATCCACAAGAGTAACTAAGAACGAGACTAAAAAAGCACAAGAAATAAGATGTTTAAGCTAAAAGAAAACAAAAGACTAAGAGGATACAACCACAAACACTAAGCAAGGCCTGGAAACAACAATGCAAAGGCAAAACAAACCACCAGGATATAAATACACTCAGTGTACTAGAAACGAATGAACTAGAAACACCTGAGACTATTGAGTGGGTGGAGCTACAGACTACACACAGATGGGAACACTAATGGGAAGTTGAGGGAGCAGCGCAGAGACAAGGCCAAAAGCTACAACAAGAGTGCATGAAAGTCATAGAGTGCAATATATTAGGATCGGTAAGGTTCTCTCCTCAGCTGCAACTATAACACCAGAGCTCCACAAGGCTGCATTCTCAGTCCTTTTCTGTATACCCTGTACATTAATGACTGTAGAAGCCCCTTAACAGTCACTACATATATAAATGACTCAGATGACACTGTTATACTTGGGCATCTTAAAGACAATAACTCGGCCACAGCCTACCTGTAAGTAAGTAAGTCAGTAGAGTTTATTTATATAGCGCTTTTTACAACAGGTGTTGTCACAAAGCAGCTTTACAAGGAAATCAGCATTACAGAAAGAAATCCTGGTCCAAGACCCCATGAGCGTCGCCAGTGGCGACAGTGGCAAGGAAAAACTCCCTGGGGAAACAGGAAGAAACCTTGAGAGGAACCAAGACTCAGAAGGGGAACCCATCCTCCTCTGGTCGACACCAGATAGTAAACATTGTTAGTACAAAAACGGGGAAAACAGGTGGAGCAAATGATTAATTTGATTAGTTTAGTTCATGCAGTGGCAGCAGCAGCATCAGTGGGGTCAGGTTGTGAGGGTGAGGTTTGCACGGCATAGTACAGCATGGAGCTGGATGGTGGTCAAGCTGGTCCAGAGGGCTGGCGAGCAGTGGCACCCGATCAAGGCAGAGAGGCAGCAGCATCAGAATGCTTTGATCGCTCACTGCACTCTTTCTTCAATTTACTTCCATCAGGCTGGATGTATGTAGTCCTCATGTGTTTAAATGTGCTTTATTGATGGGTCTTGTTGCCTGTTCTTTATGTTTGTCTTGATGGTTTTTATCTAAATGTATGTAATTTTTCAAATATCTGACCTTATATGTCTCCGAAAAAATGTACGAATAGCAAAAATGTCCTCTCTGGAGATCAATAAAGAATCTAATCTAAATTATTTTTCTGCATCATTTGAGCTCAGAAGCTGTTCTTTACACTGTATGAAAGTTTGATGAAGAATAGACTGATACAGCTGCTTCAACACTGCTTGGAATAAAATCTTTTTATTAACTCACATTAAAAGTTAAGACATTTTTTGCTTTCTCCTGTAAAGTAACCATTTTGGAGATACTTAATTTCTTTGGACAGTGATAAAATAAAGCAGCTTACTGAATTTAATTTCTGGATCAAGTTTATACTGGAGATGAGAGAGCTGATCAGCATGGAGGTGGAGAGTGAAATCATAACAAAATTATTACTTATAAGCCATAAAGGTTAATGTGCCGTATTCTTTGTTTAATCTTGTGAAAATGTATTTTGCATTTCCAGTATTTTATTTCTCACCACAGGTTTTGTAAGCGGCCTTTGGGGCTTAAGTCCTGCATGTCGATGCTGTCGTGACCAAAATGGTCACTTTACAGGAGAAGAAAAAACCTACTTTACTTTTAATGTATCTCAGTGGAACCAGATGTTTTTCCCAGGGAGGGGTTTCAGCCATTCTCCTCCCCTCAAACTTCAGTTATGACATAACTACATTTCGGGAATTTAGTCACGTCTAAAAATTTTTCTCTTCATTTTTGTACAAACATACAGCCAGCCTGTTTGAACTGCTGGAACCAACTATATTAAACCTGAAGTAATAGACTCCTCTGAGTGGAGCAGTGAAAACACCTGCAGAAGGAGAAACAGATGGATCAGTACAGAGTCTCTACACCACCAGAGAGAAGAACCAAACCAGACATCAGACACCGTCTCTGTACTGACTGTGCATTTACCTGTGATTGGACTGAACATGTTTCCAATGTTTGTGATTTCTTTGCTGAAAACCAGTATGGTGTCCACATTGAAAGGCCCGACGTAGCCATTTAAGCCTGAAGCAGATGAGAACACCACCTTTGGTCTGTCTGCATAATGAATGAATGAATAAACAAACATTTTTGATACTGTTTTGATGTGCTGAATTTTGCATGTTGCTCAGCTTTTTTATTAATAAAGCCTTTGAAAAATGATCTTTCTGTTTCACATGTAAGACTTACTTGCATTCTCCTCTCTCAGTGCTTCCACACCCACTTCAGTAGAGACCACCCTCCCCTCCAAAGCTGTGAGACACACGCAACAAAAATTACTATCCAACCAGCTAAACACAGAATCAGATTATTGACCAATTGAATCAGTTTCGTTAAGGCACCATTGAGAGTCGTGATCAAAGTACAAACAATGCAAATGTACCCTCAAAAAGGTACAACAGTGGTTTTAAGGTCCAATTATGTAATAAGTTTTTCCAGGTGAAAAGTATAGACTTGTTACTTTTTATAACCTCAAGTTTTAAAATAGAACAATCAAATATGAAGCCTAGAGATGAGACGGGGTGTGTGGAGTCAATACAACTTAGAAAATATCATTTTAATGGATTATAGTACAATTATGTTCCTGACTAAAGGTACTGAGATGTACTTTTCAGGGTTCCACCCCAGTGACAAGAGGTGCACTGCCCCAGTGACAGTTTACTACCTTTATTTCTGAGAGTGTACCTGCAATGTGAACACATTAACTTTATTCTTTTTTTACTCATTCTTTGGTAGAATGACTTATCTGCTTAGGATCGTTGTATTGCTGCATGACCCACATTCTCTTGAGTTTCAGCTCACGGTCAGATGTCCTGGCATTTTCCTTTAAAATTTGCTGGTATTATTCAGAGTTCATTGTTCCATCAATGGCCTAGATGCAGAAAAACAGCTCCAAACAATGATACTACCACCACCATATTTCACAGATGGTATAAGGTTTTATGCTGGAATGCAGTGTTTTCCTTTCTACAAACATAACACTTCTCATTTAAATCAAAAAGATCTATATACTATCTGTCCACAAAACATTGTTCCAATAGCCTTCTGGCTTGTTCATGTGATCTTTAGCAAACAGCAGACTGGCAGCATTGTTCTTTATATCTGTTCTTTACAGCCAGATTTTTAAGGACACTGGCAATTTGACTGAAAATATTAAAACTACCCAGTTATTTCCTACAGATTTTTACATAATGATCATTACCCAAATTTGAAAAAAGGAACCATGGCAATGTAAATTCCCCTACATGGTTATAATGGAATGCCGGATGTAAAAAGCAATGGCAAATGGACTAATAAAGTCCAAGATAACTGCACTGATGTGATAGTGTTATGACTGGCATGTCAACCAGAAGAAAAATCTGGGGAAAAAAATCCAAGACTCCAGAGTAAGAGCTGGACATCACTGTTATCAGCAGTCCTAATGAGACTAAGGATGGCCCCACACAAACCAACAGGCTTCACACCTATTGAGTTAATGACAGGTAGGGCAGTGAGATCAGTATTAGATTCAGCATATGTAGCAGAAGGTTGTACAGGGTTATTTATGAGGAACTGAGACAATAAGATTCTGAGTTCAAGATAAAGTGATATATGTGGAAACAGATCGCAGTGCATATGCTGCAAGTCAAGGAGCTGAGTTAGGCAATAGTGAAATTGGTTTTATGATTATGATCTGTGAACTGTCCTCGCATGCACTGTTGTGTAAGTGGAAATACTGTTCAGAGTAATCTTTATATCACTTGTTACTTTCCTTAGCACTCCTGATGGTGTCTGACGAAGGCATAAATTCCAACTTAAACCCTTAATAGGTAAATTATTCTATTCTAAGCAGGTCCAGTCTGATGATGATCTTGACAGACCGTCTTCAAGCGGCGTACCTCAGAAAAATTGAGAGGGAACAATGGAAAACTGTTCAGATGCTCTGTCTTGTCTTATAAACTTTGTGTTTGACTTTAATGATGGTTGTAGTCATTTCAATTATAATTCATCTTGTCCTTCCAACACATACATGTAATTTAGTTTCACCATTGTTAGCATGTTGGGACCCTCCAGTTGTCATATGCAGTAGCAATCCTGGTAATGCAAACAAAACAAAAACTGAATATTTTCCTTATGATCAAGAGCTTTCATTGTGCAATACTACATTAAATGATTTTTTGATGCGGAAATTAATTGTTACACAAACAATACTTAACGAGAAAGTTAAAACTCAGTAAGTCATAACATTTGATTTTTGCCTTTGGCCTTTAAATATTATTTCAATTTTCTCTTAGACCTGAGACATAAGTGTACTGTGCAACTGAACAATGAGCACTGTTGATATATAGACGTAATAAATCCAGCACTGATAAAGTTTGGTATACTTATATTCCAGATAGACGATATGAGGCTGTCACTTGTATTACTATGCACAGTGGTGCTTGAAAGCTTGTGAACCTTTTAGAATTTTCTATATTTCTGCATAAATTTGACCCAAGTCCTACTAGTAGATAAAGAGAACCAAATTAAACAAGGCAGAAATATTAGACTTAGTCATTTATTGAAAAGTGATCCAATGTTACAGATCTATGGGTGGCAAAAGTACATGAAACTCTGCTTTCAGTATCTGGTGTTACCCCTGCTAACCGTTGATTAGTCCTGCACATCGGCTTGGTGGAGTTTTAACCCATTCCTCCATACAAAACAGCTTCAACTCTGTTATGTTGGTGGATTTCCTCCCATGAACTGCTGCTTCAGGCCCTTCCACAACATTTCTATAGGTTTTAGGTCAGGACGTTGACTTGGCCATTTCAAAACATTAACTTTATTCTTCTTTAGCCATTCTTTGGTAGAATGACCTGTGTGCTTAGGGTCGATGTCTTGCTACATGACCCACGTTCTCTTGAGTTTCAGCTCACAGACAGATGTACTACCACCCACCATGTTTCACAGATGGTATAAGGTTTTTATGCAAAAATGCAGTGTTTTCCCTTCTCCAAGCACAACACTTCTCATTTAAACTAAAAAGATCAATTTAATAATATTTTTGTCTCATTTTCTTTAATTTGGTTCACTTTATCTACTTCTAGGACTTGTGTGAAAATCTGATAAGGTTTTAGATTAAATTTATGCAGAGACATAGAAAATTCTGAAGGGTCCACAAAATTTCAAGCACCACTGTATACAATCAAACCATGTCCAAATTCTTAGCAGAACTGTATGCTTCATGGTTGTAGTAGTTACAATTTAAGAACAAAACTTTGAATTGAAGTCCCTGTAGTTACTGAATACTACATCATAACCCTTAGTGTGTAATAGGCTTGGGTTTTTAAGGGGTTAAATGGTCAGCAATGGTGGACAAACTCTTTACTTGTGTCAGTGAAGCATTATCTGACACTGCTAACACCTTCTGTACAGAGGCTAATGCATGGTTTCACACATCGGTGTGAAATTGCAAAAAAAGAAGGGGCAGTGTTGTGGATGCTGAAACTGTGGACATACTCCATGTTTTACAGTTCAGCATGACCTGGCAATAATGAATTGACTCACTTATATAGTTTGATACATTTGGGTCTTATCAGCTGTCTGATATGTCCATTATATCTATTGCACAATGTTGCCTCAGGGCAACAAACATTCTCCTCACTTTACAATAACATTATACATATTTAAGGACACTGACAGGGTTAACAATAAAGAGCAGAATTTGAGTGAGTCAGTTAAAAAAGCACGACCCCTGCACACGTTATTATTTTAAAAATGATGGGAATTCAATAATCAGGTCAATTTTATGCAAGAACAGTGAATCAAATACACACACATACACACATATATATATATATATATATATATTTTATTTTATTTTATTTTTTTTTAATTGCTCTTATAATGCGTGCAGTAGAGGGCCAAGCCTAGTCACAATCAGGTAGTTCCTCGTCACTCGTGTGCTAGCTCTGTTGCCCTAAAACCTTCATTAGCATAATCATTTGCCATCACACCATCCTAAATAATGGAATTGTCCCACATTGTCTTAGTTGGCCATGCATCTTAGTTGACCTCATACTCTTGGTTCTCCCATAAGAAACCCTGCTATCTAAAATCTTCTGTGGTTTATCCTCAGCAACCCATACAGTTATATGTTAATACTGTATGTGGAGTGGTCATTTGTAGGTGATTAATAAACTGTTAACCTAATCCCAGCCCAGGGTTAGGGCTAAGAGTAGGTTTTGGGTTGAGGTTAAGTTTAGGGTTAGGATTAGGGCCAGGGTGACGGTTAGGTTGTGGGTAAGGTTGGTAAAGTTGAGTTTTGCATAATGGAAGCAAAATATTAACAACACATCTACTTAATGTAAGTAATGTATCAACAGAACATCTACAAGATATTTACTTTAGTGTATTCAGATGCTTCACTGCTGCTACTTCACTGGTGTGTTGATGTGTTACTGATACTCAGTTAGGGGACCCCTCCAAATAAAGTGTTGCCAATTTGTCTCCCTCAAATACGATAAGGCTTAGTTGGAAAGGAGGGAATTGGAGGGGTTCAGCTGAAAATGACACGCGTGTACCAGGAAATGGACATCTGGCTCTTACAGAAGGGAATGCACTGTAAGACTGTGGATACATTTGAAGAATAGAAAATACAGAAGTAAACTGTACAAGCTCAACTTTGGGTTCAATGACATAACTAACTGGTGTAAAGTGCATAGTGAAAGTGTCGTTACAGTAATAGTTGTGATACATTGCACAGTGTGTATTAATCAGAGAGGAGATACAGTGATGTGGTTCAGCACAGTTCAGACAGCAGGAGATCAGTACCGTCTCTGCAGTAAGGAGACGTTGTAGAGCCGTATATCAGTGGGTAAGAAAGATCTCACACGTTGCTCTTTAACACAGCGCAGCTGCAACAGACGGCCACTGAAGGAGCTTCTCTGTTTATCCAGTGTAGCATGCAGGGGGTGTGAGGTGTTATCCATTATGGCTAACAGCTTGTTGAACGTCCTCTGTTCTTTCAGCGTCCAGCTTGACTCCTACAACAGAGACAGCCTTCCTAATAAGTTTGTTTATTTTCTTCAGAGCACTTTTGTTAATGCTGCTGCCCCAGAACAGCATAGAACAAAGCACTCGCTACAACAGACTGGGGTTGTCCACGATGCTGGTAGCTTTGTGGATGCAGCGTGTGGTGTAGATGTCCATGGTGGAGGGGAGAGAGACCCCGATGATCCTCTCAGCTGTCCTAAGTGTTCGCTGTAGGGTCTTGCGGTCGGAGGCGGTGCAATTCCCAAACCAGGCGATGATGCAGCTGCTCAAGATTCTCTCCACAGTCCCTCTGTAGAACATGGTGAGGATGGGAGGGGGGAGATGAGATGACAGCTGTGTCACGTTTCCATGTCACAGTGTATTCAACATTTGTGTAACTCAAGTGCTGCAAAGGACTAATCCGTCACCCCAACAGGAGACTGTGAGTCTGAACCTCAGCAATGCCATAGCCATTCATATGTGTCTGATGGGATTGTGTTATGGATTGTGTATGAATATTTACATAGAGCTTTTCCCATGTTGGCTATACGGTTACTTTATCATTATACTTGGTACTAGATCTCTGTATGCAAGGGACAAAGTTGAAAACCAGTATTGGCTGGTTGTGATCTTCAGACCATTTTATGAGCGCATATTCTACTGGATTATTTCTTTCTAGCATTTTTATAGGTTTTTTTATTGATGTTGACATCACATTACAATTAAATTCACAACAAGAGAGAGAGAGAGAGAGAGAGAGAGAGAGAGAGAGAGAGAGACTGAGCAAGTGTGTGTTTCTTGTATGTGTTTGTGTGAGGGGTGTGTGTGTGCATGCATGTGTGTGCGTGTGTTGTAAGGGCTGCCAGCAGAGGGCGACAGCGGTGACGTGCCATAAATTCAGGGAACTCCAATTCCCAGAAGCCCTCAGACTAATTAGGCCCAACCTGGCACACCTGTGGACTCCTCCACTTAAGGCCGTGGCAAACAGCAGCCGTTTGTCACACCTTTATAGAGGGGACAAATTGGTCATTTTGATTTTTATGCATTCGTATGATCACTGTTGAAGTCAAACATCATGAAAAAATTAAAGTGTATTTGGATTTTGGCAACATGATGGGAGTGCTTAACGTAATTACATATTTAGTGTTACATTGTGGGCGTATACCACAATGACCTATATTAAACCGGAAAACCACAGACAGGACAAGGTTACTGTCTTTCATTCAGGGAAAACAAAAAAAGGTTGATGTTCCTCTGTGCAACTCCTACTGCATTTTAGTCCCCTCTAGTGGACAAACTAGAAAATACAACCCAAGATATGTTTAAAAGGAAAACAAAGTAAAGTGATGAACGAGTCACACTTTATTACTCATTAAATACTGATTCTTCATAATGAATTCATGTTTGTGCCCCTGAAAGTGATGAGCGAATCACAATTTATTACTGATTATATACTAATTCTTCATGATGAGTTCATAAGCTAATAAAATAGCAGAAGTTAATCATTTTACTTACCAAAATGACTTCATTCTTTTGCCTCTCAAGAACAGTGATGAAGGATAAGTAGCTACAACATGGCTCATATGAAAACATGACATTAACAAAATTCACAGGAATAAAAAGTATTTTATCATATGACTTCTACACCAACACATACTGGTTCTGTAGTTCCACAAACATCTGTAAAACGGTCAGAACTGCCAGCTAATTAAAGTCACACAGATGTTCATACTGCAGCGGTGTTTCCACAGAACTCACACAAGCTGAAGGTCGAGTCTGTGACTCAGCTTTACTGACAAACTCAGACGGAGCACTAAAGAAAGGGGAGAATACGGCTCTAGGTTAGCGCTCGGCTAAGTGCAGTTAGCGCCCTCTCGCACTGCCACCGCACACACATAGCCCTTCACAATAAGAGTCCCTGTCAAAGGAGGAATAACAAATGAACCAAGCAGCAGAAAATGAACGTGATTTTAACCAGACAGAGTAGATATTACTACTACAATCCCGCGACGCTCATGAGAAACACCTTCCCGTTAAAACCAAAAAGGGTTATTGCAAATAACTAAGCACCAAACCAAATATTTAAGCCACTTTATAATGAATTTAGAAATAATAGTTCCTGCAAATCCGTTTTGTTTCACCACAGACAACAACTGCATGTTTTACAGCTTAGTCTAAAAAGAGGTGAGGCACGAACATACATACTCACAACACTCAGACAACAATACCACGTGTAAATATCATCTGCGATGTAAATTACGTATATAATACAGTATACATATGCATAACTCACCTTTAAAAGTAAGAAAAATGTGAAATATTGCAAAAAGGCGAAAAGAGAAATTGAATTTTTTTATTATTTCAATTATTTTCATTTGCTTCTCTTAAACGTTGTACTAGAGATATTCACTCAAGACACTATGGCTGCTTGACATATAGCATTTAACGCAATTACTGCCATTTCCTGGCGAAGAAAAATAGCAGTAATTTCCAGCTGCGGAAACAGTTGAAGTGTTACATTGCAAAATGCTGTTTCCATTAATAAAAACATTTAGATATGGCACATTTTTAAAAGAATAATAGATGTATAATGGGAAACACTGTCATTTTCTGAAGGTGGTATTTCTCAGAATAACTGTGGCATAAATTACGATAATTCACAGTTTTAATTAAATCAAATGCCTATTTTCAGGAAATAAACTAGTTTAGTTTATTAAACATACAACAGTTTATGTTTCTGTTGTAACAGTATGACATTGCAGTATGACATAGGTGATCATAAATTGCATGAATAGAATGAAACTAAGAGCTTCTAGCAGTTCGCCAATGTGTACGAACATTCTTTTTGTTTGCTTAATTAACACACGAATTTCTAATTAAATCAGGCACTGAATAAAGCCTTTATTACCTTCATCTTCATTCATTAGTACATTTGTTTGTTCCTGATTAATGACTCATTACTTTCTGATTAGTTATTCATTAGTAAATGCCTTAATTACTGCCAGTTCATGTACCCTTATCATAAAGTGTTACTGCATATTTTATTGTTTGTCTTGATCTGTTTTTATTTATTAATTTATTTATTTATTTATCACACCTGCATTCAATTGCTTCAGCTCGTCCACTTGGTTCACAGTAGCCAGCAGTCGGCCATTCGTAGCTTAAACACAATAATACATAAGACTAAACACAGAATCAGATTGTCGTATGCAAAAGTTTGAACAACATGAAACAAAGATTCAGCAATAAAGGAAAAATCAAATCTTTTGGTTTACCTGTGTTCTCCTTCTTCTTTGACTGAACTGCAGCTGCACCCTCTGCTCCACCACCATGTCCCTCAGCTCCCTCAGCTCAATCCACACATCGGGCTGGTTTGGATTCAGCTCTGATCTCTCCACACGACTCTGGTTCTAAAGTCTGTTCAGTCTGGACTGTGTGTCCTCCACTGTGAGCTGGTCATCGCCTCTCTGGAGCTGAACACAAGACAAGCAGAACCAAAGAACCACACTGACCCTTTTATCTATTATTTATTTATACGGTCACTTCAGAGTGAGTTCTAATATTTAAAGTTGAATTTTAAAATTCAACACCTGATGTATGGCTGAAATACATATGCCCAGTCTCATATGATCATCTTTAACTTCCATTCACCTCCCTCCCCCACCAAAAAGGGTTTTATTTATCATTTTATTGTTTTTTTGAAGTGCCACTGTAATTTTATGACTGAACACTAGATGCCAGTATTGAAAAACTAATGAAGGCTGGCAAGACCCTATATAGCTGGAGAGGGAGGAGTTGGAGAGAAGAAGGAGGAGGCTGCTTTCGAGATTCATAAATACCACTATTAGAGTATATTTAAGATTAAGCAACACATTCTCATCCATTACAGGGTTACTACAATTTGATATTGTATTTAGTTATCCTTACTTTATTTTGGTTTTCAGTTTAGCTTCAGTTCTTTTTATGACTGCTTTATAGTAAAATATTAGATTAAAAAAATATATAGTAAAAAGTACATTTCTTTGCATGTTACATCAGCTTTGACCACAAGGGGGCAGGTGTTTCTTTTTTTTTTTTCCCCTGTTACTCTTGAGACCAAGTTCAGACCAAAAAAAAAGGAGCTAACTGGCTAACAATTAACAAGCTACTGCTAAATCTTGGTTATTATTATTATTATTTTTTTTAACTTGATCAAAGCTACTATAGCCTAGTAATTGTTAGCCTTTTAGGTCCCTAGTGAGTTTCACAAAGCTGTTGTTGTTTCACCTGTTTGCTCTTTGTGGAGCAAACACCTCTCGTATTGCTTGGAGCCGTTTCTTGCTCAAGCCTTCTTTTGGTTTTTAAGTAGTTTTGAGGCAATTTCTCTCATTTTTTTTCCTGCCCTCTTTTCTTTTTTGTTTAAATACCCACCTGGCCTAAGTACCGTGCTGGTCACCCCTCTACAAAGGTGTGACAAAGGCTGCTGTTTGCCACGGCCTTAAGTAGAGGAGTCCACAGGTGTGCCAGGTTGGGCCCAATCAGCCTGAGGCCTTCTGGGAATTGGAGTTCCCTGAATTTATGGCACCTCGCCGCCGTCACGCTCTGCTGGCAGCCCTTACAACACACACACACACACACATACACACACACACACACACACACACACACAATCAATCAATAAAGTTCTATCCATCCATCCTTTCATTCATCCATCCATCCATCCATCCATCCATCCATCCATCCATCCCTCACACAGACTTTTTTCACTGCTGCTGTCTGGCAGAAGGTCCCGGAGCATCTGTGCCATCACTGCCAGACTCTGAAACAGCTTTGTTCCTCAAGTTCCTTAAATTCACAAGGACTGAACTAAAAAACCCCCTCACACACACACACACACACACACACACACACACACACACACACACACACACACACTCCTCTTTTGATGCTCTTTGCACTATCTGAAACTTTGCTGCTAACACTGTGTTTGCACTTTGTTTACTCAAACACTGTATATCCTACCTCGGGAACTGCTCACATATGGTATAATCTGACTGCGTTTACTCACAGATCACAGCATGTTAAATAATCTTTGCACCTTATTCCACAACCCTACCTCATGCTCAGAAATATGTGCTGTGTCAGCGCTGCACTGTCCTGTCTGTTTACTGTGTCTAATGTCTGTTTTATTTACTGTATTGTCTCTAGTCTAATGTTTTTGCACACTTGCGTCTGCATGTTTGCACTTTGCACTGTGTATATTGCTCCATGTTGCACCGTATTTCCTGGAAGAATGTAATTTCACTCCACTGTGTACTTACACATAGATGGAATAACAATAAAAGCCTATTGACTTGACTTGACCTGACTAACAATCTAATCATTCGTTCCACCATCTGGATATTGAAGTCCAGCAAAGCCACAGTTGCCCACATCCGGAATCCCATGAAGAGAAAATGTTTTACTGGGTCAAAACAGTTTGGAGAACCTTTGACTCAGCTAAGAAATTTGAGTTGAATTAACACGACTTAACTCAGAGCAGTCGGTTCTGGTGACAGACTTTTTTCGTACTCCATTATTTATTATTCAGGTAAACTAGCTTATATTATGAACTATCCAGCAATTGAAGTGTCTCACCTTTGAGCAGACAGTGTTGTGGGTCCACAAGTTCAGTTAACCACACAGATTAATCCAAAGATGTTTTAATGTCTGTTTTGTCTTTGGAACTGAGTGGGAAACCAACACACCCACATCTTTGACCATATCTGGAGTTTCACATTCAAATGTGGTGCACTGGCTGAACTGAGGACTTGACTGAGGTAATGATTATTAAACAGTGATTGGAAGACCAAAGGAAAAACAGCCTTTCAATACAAGGGCCGGGTCTCTCTAAAAAGGATATGCCATTCAGTAAAGAATGATATTCTTAAGGCCAAATTAAAATACAAGGAAAGACTGCACTGTTAGAAATAAAGGGACTGTACTGGACAATAAAATCAGCTTTGACCAACATGTAATGGGCCTCTATAAGAGATGTCAGCAGAGAGAAAGCCAAGAGCACTTCATGTAGCACTTTCATTGCTCTTGCTCCACTATAGAAGCATAATTGAGCGTATTATGCTGTACTGTTCAACCTGTTTCTTTACAATGTTAAAAGTATCAAGCATTAACAAACTGTTATGCATTACACATTTGTCTCAACAACCATAGGCCTTCCCACAGACAACCTGTCAAACCTGAACAATAAAGCTATTTTAGGAAGGGCTATCATAGTAGTACAAGACCCTGATCACCCACTGCACTCTTTCTTCAGTTTACTTCCATCAGGCTGGATGTATGTAGTCCTCATGTGTTTAAATGTGCTTTATGGATGGGTCTTGTTGCCTGCTTTTTATGTTTGTCTTGACAGTGTTTATCCAAATATGTGTAATTTTTCAAATGTCTGATCATCTACACAGATCAGGCATAACATTATGACCACCTCCTTGTTTCTACACTCATTGTCCATTTTATCAGCTCCACTTACTATATAGGTGCACTTTGTAGTTTGGATTGGTGTATGTTTATCTATCTCTCTGGAGGTCAATAAAGAATCTAATCTAATCTAAATTGTCACCGTTGTTGAAAACAAGTATCTCCATTTTTTGCAACGATTATTTTTTCTGCCTCATTTGGGCTCAGAAGCTGTTCTTAACACTGCATGAAAATTTCATGAATAATAGACCAATACAGCTGCTTCAACATTGCTTGGAATAAAATCTTTTTACATTAACTCACATTAAAAGTTAAGATTTTTTTTGTTTTCTCCTGTAAAGTAATCATTTTGGAGATACTTTTCTTTGGGCAGTGATGAAATAAAGCAGCTTACTGACTTTAATTTCTGGATCAAGTTTATACTGGAGATGAGAGAGCTGATCAACATGGAGGTGGAGAGTGAAATCATAACAAAATGAATGTGGTTCCAGACCATCAGTTATTTTTTCTTTCAAATTTACAGTAACTAAAAGTTATATTAACCTTTATGTGTTTTACATGGAGTTTTATAGACTATAAAGGTTAATGTGCCATATTCTTTGTTTAATCTTGTGAAAATGTATTTTGCATTTCTAATATGTTATTTCTCACCACAGGTTTTGTAAGCAGCCTTAAGGGCTTAAGTCCTGCATGTCGCTGTTGTCGGAACAAAACTTTTGTCAAGTCATTTCGGGCCGTTTATTTGGTCCATTCATCATGAAATGTACACACAATGTAAAGAGCAACAGCTATCAAACAATGCCAAAAACTGAAAAATGATTAAAAAAAAATGGAGATATGAGATTTTGTTCTTTTATTTTTTTTACATTAAATAACAGCAACCCAAGCAGTCGAGTCCTCACCCTTTCCAATAATGTATCCATGAAACGTTTCCATGGGATGCATGTGACTAAGTCCTGAATCTGTTGGTTTAAATTATATCCTATATTCGGCACTAAGGGTCCACATGACAGTCGAGAAACATATGTTGGTATCACACAGCAAATACCTTACATGTACTATTCTACATTTGTCTCTCCCAAACTGTAGCCAGTAAATATATGTGTATCATGCACAGAGTCACATATGCTTAATCTTTGATCTGCTGTCCCCACTATGAACCCAAAGATGAGCTTGTGCAGTTTACTTCTGTGTTTTCTATTCTTCAAGTGTACAGAGTCTTACAGTGCATTCCATTCTGTAAGAGCCAGATGTCGATTTCCGGGTACATGCATCCCATTTTCAGCTGAACCCCTCCAATTCCCTCCTTTCCAACTAAGTCCGATCATATTTGAGGTAGACAAATTAGATACACTTTATTTGGAGTTGTCTTTTGTAGATGATCAACAAACTCTTAACTGAGTATCAGTAACACATCAACAACACACCAGTGAAGTAGCAGCAGTGAAGCATCTGAATACACTGAAGTAAATATCTCACATTACTTACATGTGGATTTGTTGTTAAAATGTTGCTTCCATTATGCAAAACCCAGCCTTACCAACCTCACCCACAACCTATCCCTCACCCTGGCCCTAATCCTAACCCTAACCTTAACCTCAACCTCAACCCAAAGCCTAACCTTTACACCACTTAGAATTTAGCACAGCTTTTACAGCTCGTCCAATGATTCTGATTCTGATGATTCTGATCCTGTATTTAACAGAATGGTAGAACAGCCAAAGTAAAACATTAATACAATCGATGAAGTAGATGATACAAACATTCAGTGGACACTCAGTAACATGTCAAAAACATCTGAGGGTTACAATTAGGTTTTGGGTTGAGGGTAAGGTTAGAGTTAGGATTAGGGCCAGGGTAAGGGTAAGGGTTAGGTTTTGGGTAAGGTTGGGTTAGGGTTAAGTTTTGCATAGGAAAGTAAGTAACATTTACAGTACATCTAGTTAATGTAAGTAATGTATCAACAGAACATCTATATATTTACTTC